CACATATTGTGCCAAATAATGATGACCTTCAACTGCATGTTTAAAACTAATATTAATATTTTTATTCATTTTTACCCAATGAACAGGTGCAATATTGATAACCACCAAGTTAGAGGGGTGTTTCACTTTTTATGATTTAGTGATAGTTCTACTCATAACCAAAAGGGACAGAGCATCATGCAGCCTTCATAGCATAAAATGACACTCTTATACATGTACAAAAAAATTGTCACCATAAGTCCAATAGTTGACACCATAAGTCAGATTACAGGCAAATGTTCTGTACATAAAGAAATCATCACTTCCTTGTCTTTACTCTTCTTCAGTCATAGAGCTTGGTGATGTTTCAAACTGTTAAACACTGCCACCAACTGTTCAGGAGGATTATTACACCCCTGAAGGCTGTTTCACTGTGGAAGGGGGGTGCACAGCAGGGTGGCCAAAGATTTGTCTGTGGTGACCATGGCCACCCCTGGCCACCCCCTGGCTCCTCCTCTGGTTGAGAATCATTTCCACTCCAGTCCAGACTAACAAAACTCGGTGATCAATCAAGTCACATGCCCTCAGTTTTGGAGGACCTTTAGGTACAGGCTTAAATAACCTATTTAGGAATTCACAGTTATATTTGTATATTTTTCAGGACAGTGTCGGTCCAACACTATTACACACACATTTTATGGAGGTAATCAATAATACACCACTTGACAGGGAAGAGGAACTCAACCCCCATTTCTCAGACACATTCATCAACTCACTGGCTACACACTTCTTGCCCCATGCAGCCCTCTGCTCCAGCATAATGCCTGGTCAGTAACAATTTCATTATGTTTTGGAAAGTTAAATTATTCGACTGTGAAGCTACAGTGGTACACTCTTCAAACCGTTTATATTCAGACTAACAAAGTCACAGACTGTTATTACATAYCCACATGACTACATTCTCAGCGTATAGTCTATCAGATGTACTCAGTTATATGAAGAGGATTTTGTACTTGTAAACACTGCAGATATGGTGAAATGTAAGTTTATTTCATTAAAGTTCAAATGATTTGGCAACAGGTACTGTTTATTCATGTATAATACTAGAAATTTAACCCTAAAAATCATCCATAAATGGGGGCCGGGG